GGGGAAAAAAAAAAAAAAAAAAAAAGGTGAAGGAGGAAAAGAAGGGAGGTCGGCGAGGAAGAAGGTCCCGACAGCCATAGCCGACCTAGAGGTTGAGTGGGCGTTGACCAGCGGGTTGACAGGAGCGTTGACCGGGGTGTGACTGCGTTGACCAAGCGTTGACCGAGGCGTTGACCGAAGTCGTAGATCACGATTTTGACCAAGTTGGAGTTGGTATAATCTCGCCAAGCCCTTAGCCTATCCCCTCGCCCTACGGATGAGCACTCACCCTGTGGTACTTGCTGAGTCTGAGTCTGTCTGTCTCTTCTTTCTGCATCGAGTCTCTTTTGTCCAGGTGATAGGACTCCGTGTATGAAGGATAGGGCCTCGTTGACCAAACCCACACGGACTGAATTGGGCTTAAGGTTGAGTCTGACGACTCCACTATCCCGGAGGACACGAACCCTCCCAAGGACCAGTACTGACCAGCGGGCTGCTTGATGTGGCACGGTAGGCCCAAAATCCGAGCTGTGGGCTGCACAACGGGCCGTCTAAGTCTTGAGAGGATCTTCTGACCGCGTCGTCCTGTTTGCGACGTTAAAGAATTCTTGAGGAGTTACGGGGGATCTCCTTAAATGCCTCCTGGTCAGCAACAGATTCTGTAGTGACAGTTGTAGTATTAGAGTCTAGGCTAGAGATCGTAGTTGACAGGGTTCTATACGGATCCTGTGGTCCATAAGACTGCATCAGTCTTAAGTTGGGTCAATCAGGGGGAGAGTCTAAGTGGTGAGGAGTGGAACCGTCACTTGGTTGTACGTCTATCACCATGGTTGACACGCATACAGGAGCGAGCACCTCCCCTTACACAGCAGAGCAGGATGCGAAGGCCGTCGCCATCCTGAAAGAGAGAAGAGAGAAAAAGGAGGCCAAGAAGAAGGCCTTGATGGAAGAACAAGCGACAAAGTTGAAGAAGATTGAGGAGGAGATGGCCAGAGAAAAAGAGAGGTTAAGGAAAGTAGAAGAAGAGAAGCTCAAGGTAGTAGAAGAGGAGGAAGAGCTACAAGAACAGCCACTGGAAAGCCGAAGGGCAGGAGGAAGAGGAGAATCCAGTGGAACAAAGGAAGATCAGATGGAGAAGAAGATTACGGAGTGGGTTGCTGGTTCATCCCTGGGAGAAGAAGAGGAGGCACTAATGTATGTGCCCAGGGAAGAACAAGAGGCGACCATGAGAGAGTGGGATGCAAAAGAAGAGGAGGCACTAATGTATATGCCCAGGGAAGAACAAGCGGCAAGCTATAGAAGATGAGAAGAGGATGGAGTGGAAGTTCCGATTGACGAGTCAGAGGAAAAGGAGAATGGAGGCGGCGAGCCAGGCGGCGAAAGAATTGGGGGAGGTAAAGAAACAAAGAGAGCAGATGGCGACGCAGGTAGACCTACTGGGGAAGATGGAGATTATGGCGAGATATATAGAGCGCCTGGCCAGCAAGCTTCGCCGATTCCTTGTGTCGCGCTGCTAACTGCAATGATGATCTAGTCGCCTATTCTGCGTTCACTCCCCTCACTGACTTCCTTAAGTTATTGCGCGAACGATTCGCAAATGTCTCGCACAGTGTCAAAGCCTCCGATAGATTGCAAACCATCCACTCTCGCCAGTGGAAGAGTGCTAAAACACTCAAGGGTGTCATGGATGAGTTAGTCGTCGTTCCAGACCATGGGGTTACTGAGACCCAACTGGTCAACCTCTTCTCTCGTGCAATGCCCAAACAGCTGCGCGGGCATTTCTTTGAGAAGAGTCAGCAACCTACCATGACCTACGACGCTTTGGTAGCCTTTGAAGCGCGGTCCATGTCAATCTCCACTTTTTGGCATAAGGACCTAGACAAGGGCAAAAAGTGGAAAGGTCGCACCATCTCAGAACAGGTCAAGACCAGGGATCGCTTGATCCTTACCTTAGACGAGGGTGGTGTAGACGAAGTCCCCTACGAGCAGATTGAGTGGGGGCTTGAGGAAGAGGACAGTAGCCTTAGTCAAGGGAGGACCTACGCTGCTGACGCGGCTGGAGGGAGGCCGCAAGGAGGAGGTAGAGGCCAAGGCCAAGACGGTCGGGCCTCAGGTGGTCGTTCCCAGGGCGATCAAGGGGTTGGCGGCAGGGGAAACCGCCAAAGCAGGAGGAAGGGGTCAAGGTCCCCCGCAAAACCGTTCTGGAAATAGGTCACCCAATAGGGGTAATAGATCACCCTATAGGAGAAGTGGTTGGCACCCAGATTTGCCACAGGGCCGACCTTGGGAAGATTTGGGCCTCGACCAGCGCGTCTCGCAACAGCGTGTGGACAAGGGGCAATGCATATATTGCGGTGACCCTGGCCATATCATCAAATACTGTCAAATACTGTCCAACGTACAGAGAGGCCCGATGGGCTGCCCAGGGGTCAAAAGGCACCCGCCGGTAGGGGTAGCAACTGCCCCTACCATAAGGCCATGAGGGGAAATGAGCGTGAGCCGGCAGGAAACTCCCACACCACATGTGCCTATGGCAAAGGTTGCAGGCCGGTGCCTAGATAGCTGTCCAGAGACTGCTTGTGTCAGAGTCTCTTTAGGCACCTCCCTCACATGCGTGGCCGATGAGATGCCCGCCTGGGCCAAAATGAAGAAGGAAAGTAGAGGACAACTAGTTTTAGTAGACGTAGAGATTTTCAGAGGCAGAGTAGGGGCCCTAGTAAATAGTGGGGCCACGCGCGGTTATATCAGTAGAAAGGCGTTGCAAAAGTTGAAGTTGGGGCTAAAAGTCCAAAAGTTAGCAGACCCCATAGTGAGTATCCTCACAGACAATCGCACGATGCGAGTAGAGGATTATGTAGAGGGAGTCCAGGCGTACTTTAGCCTAGAGAAAGATGGGAAAGTGGAGACAGTTCTCCATTCCCCGACTCTCCTCGTAGAAGATAGCCTTCCCTTCGATATAGTCCTAGGAATGGACTGGGGAGAAGCAGCCGGGGCCACACTCCATTTGAGAGAGCACGGGTGTAGGCTCCCTAGTCCGTCAGACGGGGTCAAGACTCTGTTCCACGTGTCAGGAGTAGATAAACTCCCTGGCACATTAATGCCTTAGCGCTCCTCCGTTTGCAAGATTAGTGAGGAAGGAGCAGCTAGAAGAATAGGTCTTTGTAGCCTATGTCAGGCTGGTTACTGAGCCTAAAGAGGAAAAACCCATAGATCCCGCTATTGCCAAGCTGCTGTAAGAGTATGTAGATTTAGCTAAGTCGCCTGCGGGAGTAGTCCCACGGCCCATCTAGCATCGCATTGAGATAGAGCCTGGCAGTAGGACTCCTAAAGGAGCAGTGTATAGGATGTCCCCGCGGGAATTGGAGGAGTTGCACAAGCAGTTAGACGAACTCCTAGAGAAGGGTTGGATTAGGCCCAGTTCGTCTCCATTTGGAGCACCTGTTCTATTTGTCCTAAAGAAGGAGGGAGAGCTCAGAATGTGCATTGACTATAGGGGTCTCAATGCTATCACAGTGAAGAACGCGTAACCTTTGCCCCGTATAGACGATCTTTTAGATCGGGTGCAGGGTTGCAAGTATTTTTCAAAGATAGACTTGAAGTCTGGATATCATCAGATAGAGGTCCATCCTAATGATCAGTATACGATCGCGTTCCGGACTAGATATGGGCACTACGAGTTTATAGTTATGCCATTTGGAGTAACCAACGCGCCAACAACTTTTCAGCGTTGTATGAATGACTTGCTTAGGCCGTGGTTGGACAGGTTTGTCGTAGTCTATCTAGACAAGGTTACCTGTTGCGGCTTCGCCCGCAAAAAAATGAAGGGAAAAGGGTGCAAATGAGGGTGGGTAGGGGTTTGTTGGTCGGGTGTGGGTTTGGGTGGGGTCGGGGTGGTTTTTAGGCTCACCCGTGCATTGTTGTTGACACTGCCAATGGAATGTTGTTGCTGCTTTGTAAGCCTTGGATATATATTTTTCTTTTTTCTTTTTTTGCTTTTTTGTCCTGTCAAACACCTGATCACAGTTTGCAATCCTTTCAGTTGTGGTTTGCTGGGTTGGTGGTTGTCCGGATTCGAACTCACCTGTTGTGTGTGTGTCACACTTTACATACCTGTCTCCCGCTAACCAAAAATATTCTTTCTCAGATGTCGGGAGATCCGCAATTCTGCTATCGTG